CAATATAGTTAATAAAGAAACCACAATTCTCGGAATGCCATGTTCCACCGATGCACTCCACGGGTTACACGCAAGCCAATCACACATCTGTCATGCAACCGTCAAACCCCCTGCTCAGCGTCCCGGCAGTTCGGCCCGCAACCAGTAGGTGTCTCTCTTTCACTGTGCATGGCCCTCATTCCGTCTGCCGCCCACCGCCGGCCCCTCCCCTCTCTCAAAATCCCCATCTCCACATAGTATATACACCATCATTTGAAAATGGCAGCTTTTTGAAAATTCACCTTGATTATCAGACATTAAAAGTGACTTGAGCAGCGCTGAGTGTCTGGCTGGGGAGATGGCTGCAGACAGCCGAACAATGCGGCGGGCGCGGCATTAACGCCTCGCTGGGCCATGCAGCCACGCAAGGGAGAGGCAGCCCTTTGTTCTCTCCCTCATCCAATTATTTTTAACGTGCGCCTCTTTCACAACAACAAGAGAAATTTTAATTTTAATGCACTCTGTAAGAAAAGCCCCCCAAAATACATCTATTCTTAAAAGAAGGAGGAAAGAATACGGACGAGGGTTAAGAATTAATCAGGGCGCGTGTGTGAGCGTGGAGTGCAGGCATTGCAATGTCTGCAACCGTAGCCCGTACAAAAACCGGATGCATGCGATCGCTCTCGAGAAACGCGGCACACATGCTGCGAGGGCAAAAACACACGTGTCGCTGTCGTGGAGCGAAAAACAAACAACCAAAATGCCCAAGATTCCATATAAAATGGGTTTGAGAATAAAAAAGCTGGGGACTCTCGCAGGAAGGTATGCGCCCAAATATTTTTCTAATTGGACGAGTACTTTATCTTGCTGTCAGCGAGGTTATAAAAATGCGCGTAGTTCCCAGAAGGAGAGAAGCAGCTCTATAGCCGGCCCTTTATTACTGCACGCTAGTGTCTGATATATGCTCCTGCGTTAACCTTTCATCTGAGCCCAACACACACACATACACACACACACACACACACACACAAGCAAGCGTGTGTTTTATGCAGAAATTCAGAAATTCTGAGTTGTTGTGAATGTTACAGGGGAACGTGGTGATTATATACTGGGAGTGCAGCAAAAATGCATTTAGTCAATCATACGGTGCATTAATACACCGTCTGCATGCAGTTAGGTACACACACACACCTCAGCAACACGATTCAACCTGACAGAAAAAGCAAATTAGAATCCGACGTGTTCTGCACAAGGCTGTTGCCATCTTAGCCGCACTACGGCCAATTTTCTCAGCAGTATGAAATGATTGTTTTTTTTCTTATCAGCATCGAGGCAGCATCTACAGCAGTGAGAATTTAAAATGAAAAGCCCTTAGTTTTTGTCCCCAGGAACACAAAATAGACAAACAGCCAAACGTGCGCACGCACACACATCAAATTAGATCTTCGGTTCTAGGCTAGACAACTAACTGTTTGTGTATAAGCCTCACTCTGCGGCACAGCAAAAGCAATTCTCTGGAGATGGTGAAATTAAAGGGCAGAATCCAGCCTGTTTATGGTTGGCACTCCGCTCTCCTCTCAATCAAATGTTTTATTAGCAATCATTCGGCACTCTCCGGGCCCTAACACTCCTCCGCCGGAGGAAGGAGGGGGGCTCCAGGAGGGAGCGCTGGTACCCGCTGACCCCCGCTGGACTGCACACAGCTGATTACTCCCACCTGGAGCCCGAGTCACCATTAACCTCCACGAGGGCTCAAGCGGCCAGCCATCCCCACTGCTTCCCCAAGACGACGGAGAGTTACGAAGACTCAACCAGAGAGATGTGAAGAATCAAAGACTTAAGAGTGGGGAGAAAAAGAAAGACATGCCATGGCGTCATGTGGCAGAGATTGTGATTTAGGTGTGATAGACTGAATTTGGGTAGCATTAGGAGGCACAAGACAGTTGGAACTGTGGTTTAGTGGTCAATGCTCAAGCCTTGGTGCTCATGTGGGAAATGCAGGTTCAGTTATGGCAGTACGTCCACCCTGAATGTCTTGATTTAAAATCTGGCACATTTGGAACATATAACTTTTTGAGCCAATCACCTGATCTCTAAATATCATGTGACTTATGTGCTGCCTCCCTATTCACCTTTCTATTAGTTTTTGGCTTTTAAATAAGGTTTATAGTTTTAGATGTTTTTTATTTTTATTTGTAATTATTTTAAGTACAAGTTAAACTATAGCCAGTTAAACTAAATACACGAAAATGTGTCCATGTTTCCCTGGCAAATAGCTAAAATAAATCATAAAATAAAAAATAAAACGGTAACACTTTACAATAAGGTGTCATTTGTTAACATTAGTTAATGTATTAACTAACATGAACGAACAATACTAAATGCTGTAGTATTGTTCATTCTTAGTTCATGTTAACTAATGTAGTTACTAATGTACCTTATTGTAAAGTCTTAGCAATAAAACACAAGTTATATAAATATAAATATTTTATTTATTTTAGTCTTTTTTATTATTAATTACTCAAATCTCTTTATCTAAATCTCTTCATTAACTGTGAACAATGCTTATAGTTTTTTTTTTTTTTTTAACACTTTTGATGCAGGTCTGTAGTTCTGACTTGAATCCTCCTCAAAAGTGCAATGGGTTGTAGCCAATATTAGCAGTTAAAATGTGCATGGATCTGCACTTTGAATTTCCATTGGAAAATATCAGTTGAACCCTTTGGCCTAAAATATTTACTTAAAGCACCACCTAAGATTTTAAGTTTTTAAAGTTAATATTTCAATAATTCAACATCAAATTCTCACATTCCCAATTCTCTGATGTTGGTTAATGGTCACATGACCAATAAAATATCATTATTTTTTGTAAATGTTTAATTGTTTATTTTTATTTTATAACTTTACTTTTTTTGTGATTTAAATTACATGCTATAACCTGAACATGAGCATTTGCTGAACCATACAGTTATTTGAGTAATTTAAGCTATATTATTGGTGATTTGACACATTATGTGGTCCAAATGTCTGAGACCACTATTATATTTATTTATTTATTTTATTTATTAAGAAACAAAAGCTTTTTATGGTTTTTGTTTACTTTAATAACTCTGGTGCTAGAAGCCATTTTTCTTTAATGGCAGCAGAAATCCAGCTATATGAACTTCACAAGTTAATAGCCGCTTGAGGGATTTGCCAAGAGTATACAACGTGCCTTAAAGGGACTGATATTGGCCCCCATCTATCTCTTGATTGCCTTTCAATATTTAAGTAGAAAAAGGTCCCAAAAAAAAGTGACAGTTCTGTTGAGAGGGTAACACTGGGAGATGTTAGAAATAAGAGTGTGGGGTAGCAAAGACCTGCTGTTACCTGCTGACTGACTGAACTATGCTGAGATTTCAGCCTGGACACTTCCTCCTCCAGCCGCTGGATCTGCTCAGCCTGTGAACACGCATGCACAAAGATCATGAAATTCACATCACAAATGTTTACCATCAAACACAGAAATGTTTTGAGAAGGAGACAATAACCAGAGCAAAGATGGTAGCTCAGAACAAACAGAGCAGTGAGAAAATGGCTGCACTGTTCTGTCATAATGAGAAGTGGAGGTGTGTGTGTGTGTGTGTGTCGGGTTCCCCTGCTCTGCTCTCATCACATCTGCTGTCAGTAATCTGTTCCTGAGCCAGCAGTGCTGGGATTAAGTGCAGGCTGCAGATAAAGGATGTATGCGTCATTAAAACACACAGGACAGGCACGTACACACTCACACAGTCACCGGTGAGTAATAATGCGGCCACAGTTTCAATCACGAACGCAGCTTCATTTCTGTGAAAATCATGGCCGTTCAGAGTGTGGAAGTGTGTGATCTGTGGGCAGACGGGCTTGTGCCGGGGGCTTATTTTAACCTCAGATACGAAGGTCTTTCAAAAGGCAAAATTGTCCAGCTGTACAGCAGAGTAATAATGATTTTTAAAGCAATAGTTCAGCCAAAAATGAAAATTTACTCACCCTCATGTTGTTACAAACTCTGTGACTCATGTTCTTTCCAAAAAGGACAAAAAGCACAATAAAGTAGTCCATATGACTTATATGCCATAAATGAAGTCATATGATAGATTTGTGTGAGAAATAGATCAAAATTTGCTATTCACTGGAAACCTTGAGACAATATATTTAATTATGTGGATGAAACTGGAGTACAATAATGGACTGAGGATTTCAGTCTGTTCCTAATCATAAAGCTTCAGATGATTTGAAATATAGAGTACAGAACATTCGGACCACTTCTATGGCTCCTTTTAGACATATCGACAAGTCATTCTGGTTTAGAACATCATGAGTGTGAAAACTAATGAATGCATTTTCATTTTGGGGTGAGCTATGCCTTTAAGGAAACGATATGGCATCCATGTATATGAATTATAGGTCTGATTCTAGGTGAGGCTTTGCAGGTAATCCTGAAAAATAATATGTTTAGAAACTTCTCAAAAGAAGAAATTTGATTAAAGCTCCAGATCATGAACAAAAGATAACCCTAACCATAAAAAAGAATGTAGCACCCATGAGCTCTCATTGATATTCTGACAGGAAGATCAAAAACTTTCTGCCATACACAATTTCATGTGCAATTTCAAATCCAATGCAAAATTCAGCCCTTCTGGGACAAAAAAGGGTCTGATAACTGATAGAAAGAAACAAGGGGTAATTCTGATCAAATCAAAACAAAACAAAACAAAACACACAATTATATTTTAACTAATTGGTCTGCAAATTTGAACATACTAAACCTTTTTCTACAAATGTTCATTTTATAATTATATTTTATTATCAAAGTGACATGAATAATCAAATCAAATCAAATAAAAAACAGCAAAAACAGAACAGACAGTACTCTGGTAAGTTGTAATCAGCCATCATATTTCTACTTTCTTCTTTAACAAGTTCCTCTATCCTAAACATCTGTCAGTATAATGCATGTTCAGGGTAAAAACTATTCCAAAAATCTGAAGTCTGTCAAATTGCTTAAGACAGCTCAGTAAAATGAGTAGAGGTCAACTGGATAAACAGAATAGCATTAACCACGGTAATGACTCCCAGACCATGTGACATTACAGAGAGGTCAGAGACTATGAACAAGCAGCAGATGGTATATGAATGACAGAGGCCCTGTCCAAAATCACACCCTAAAACCCTCACGTTCTTCTGAGTCCACACTTTTGTGATGAAATGCTGCTTTGACTGCCAGGTAGAAGTCTGCATCAAGTGTGCATAGCAGCCGCAAAGGGGATGTTCACTAAAATGATAAATGGGACAACCTATGGTATCATGAACTTAACGGACACGTATGTGCGGCGGACACTGTAAGTCCGCAAGTGCACATGAAGTGTGTCATTTGGGACAAGGCCAGAGACTACAATGACATACAAACTAGAGAATGACAATGGTTTCTTGGACATGTCCAATGGTAATAAATGGTATTCACTGAAGTAGCTTGGCATACCATGTAGATACTGTGGTGTATATGAATATTCATCATTCAGTACCATGGTATTAAGAGCCAATAGCATTACTGCACCATGGTATCAGTTTTATCTAAGTATCTCTGATATACTATTACAGCTTTTGTTATTATTTTGAATTGGATTTTGTTTACATTTTCTGTTTTCACTTTAATTTTGAAAAAAAATTTTTTTATTTCAGTCATTTTGCTGTGTGTTTTCACCATTTTCATTATTATTATTTTTAAATGTCTATATATGACCCTGGACCACAAAACCAGTCTTAAGTCGCTTGGGTATATTTTTAGCAATAGCCAAAAAAACATTGTATGGGTCAAAATTAATCAATTTTTCTTTTATGCCAAAAATCATTAGGATATTAAGTAAAGATCATGTTCCATGAAGATATTTTGTAAATTTCCTACTGTAAATATATCAAAACTTAATTTTTGATCAGTAATATGCATTGCTAAGAACTTCATTTGGACAACTTTAAAGGTGATTTTCTCAGTATTTAGATTTTTTTGCACCCTCCGATTCCAGATTTTTAAATAGTTGTATCTCGGCCAAATATTGTCCTATCCTAACAAACCATACATCAATGGAAAGTTTATTTATTCAGCTTTCAAATAATATATAAATCTCAATTTAACAAAAATGGACCCTTATGACTGGTTTTGTGGTCCAGGGTCACATATAAATTTTTATTCATTTTTATTTTATTCAGTTTTAGTTATTTTAGTAGTTCCAGTTAAACTAAACAAAAATGAGAAACAAAACAGCTAAAATAAATATAGATAGATATCATAATTAAAGGTTATTAATGATAATAACCCTGCATGGTAGGGCCAGGTACATTTCCATTCCTAGCACAACTACTCAAGTGCATATATTCACCGTCAGTTTGATTGTATTTGTAAATTGTGAAATATCCAATCTCACTTTGTTTTTGGCAACCTGTGTCCCTTCCCGGCACCGACTCAGCTGGGCTTGGACAACAGACAGCTCATCCTCCAGTTCGTGGCATTTTCTCCTAGCTTCTTGTGCCTCTTTGCTCTTTTGCTCCGCCATGGACCGAACCAAACCAAGCTCCGCAGTGACTCTATCCACCTCCAGGGCAGCGCCAGACATGAGAAACTTAATGCAATTGAAGCTTCTTTCCAAGGGTGCACACAGACACACTCAATGTGACCCTTGGTGGTGGTGACCTCCTTGCAATCAGCCCCGTGGAGCACTTATTTCCCAGTTATAATCAGACTCGCTCACTAAGGCCTGACCTTTTCTCAGCAGCCCCTCAGCCATGGCTATGTATAACTCCAATATAAAACCCAGCCACCTAGAGAGAGACATCTGCTAGAGCTCAGATCCACGGCCATACAGGTTAATGAGGGAGAGAGAGCACGAATGTATACACACAACACTGCTGCACAAACAAGCTAAAAAGATTTCGGACTATATGAAAGGTACGAGACATGTTGCACCCAATATCAAAGTATTTTGTGTGGCACAGGGTTATACTTCTAAAGTTATGTTATGCTCATGAACTAAATGAAAGAAACTAATTGTTACCTAGTTCCTTTAAGCAAGGTGGCCTTCAAGTTCACTTGGTGGCCATTTTAGTTACATCCCAAGCTATTTACTAGTCATGCAAGTGCAGCACCAATCTTCATAATGACAGACCAAAATCTCCAAAACTGTTGGCTAAGCTTATACATCAATACCATTTTTCAAATACCCAATAAAGCATGAAAATAATTTCACAAATTCATTTATGGGTAAAATTTGTCATCAACAGTGGTACCTCAGTGGCCTGGTGTCATTTGATTCCCAGTAGAACTTCATTCTCCACCTGCAGCTTCACCAGATTCCTTTTCACCTCTGAGAGCTACAAGAGAGCAGAACACACTTCATATACAGTAGCTCTCCTATAGTAAACAAAGTATTTTATCACAGCTAAAGCAATGAATAGTTTTGACAGATCATGTGCACACATATGAGATAAAGACATTGCTGTGTTATTTCACGTAGAGTGGGTCGCCCACTCATGGCGGTCTCCATATTGAGTCACATGAATAGAGTACTACAGACAAATAAACAGAAACAGACGTGACTGAATAAGTGTGTCCTCTTTCTTTTGTGAAATAACAGTAAATACCACTTTATTTCTTTGTGACTTATTTTCAGCCCTGACAAATAATTCATTCTCTGTAAAACATCAATGCTTTTGGATTTAAATCTTTAAGTAAACAACAAAACATGCAAATAAACGTCCGCTTTTATCACGTTCGTTTTGTGATCTCTCTAGCTCCAGTGATTTATTTCTGATAACTTCTCTTTGTTGGTGAAATGATGGAGTTGCGTGATGTTGTTCCAGAGCTGCGTGTAAAGGGCGGGTTTTAGCTTCTGGCCCGATGATGGAAATGCAGCGTGATTTTGGCTTCGGTGCTACAGGTCCGAGACTATTAGCTCCGCCTGGCCCATTTAAAGCACTAGCTCACACTGGCCCGACAGAAAAAGCGGCTATATAGTACTCATACTATGGCTTCATTTACACCTGGTATTAACATCCTGTTCAGGTGATCTCATTTTGAAATGGGACAATGCTAAATAAAATAATTAATTATCCTAATAATAATAAATATTTTGAGATTTATTTACTTCACAACATTGGAAAAAAAGGCACATGGCAACACTGCAGTGTAAATCAGGGCCGTAACTACCAATAATTAAATATGGCTGCCTCAGTGGTCTTGTCAATGTCAAAATTATTGAGATGGTCAATCAAATCAAAGAAGGCAGATGGTTATCAGAACCCGAACATGAATTCCAGCGCACTACTTCAGTGGAAGCATGTAAGGCAAGATGTAAGTAGTTAAACATTTATGATGTTTAACTACTTAACTACAGTTGTGCTCAAAATTATTCATACCCTTGATAAATATGATCAAAGAAGGCTGTGAAAATAAATCCACATTGTTTATCTACTTGATCTTTCATTCAAAAATAAAAAAAAAATCTTACCTTTAATTAAAGTAAAAAAAAAAAAAATCACATTATAAAATAAATATTTTTCTCTAATACAGTAAGAGGACGTGTGTCTATATCGTCCTAATGCATGGTGAGGAGGAGAGTTTGAGTGGCCAAAGACTCCAAGGATCACAGCTGGAGAACTGCAGAAAATAGTTGAGTCTTGGGGTCAGAAAGCCTCAAAAAAACAAAAAACAAAAAAAAAAACATGTTGTTTGGGAGGGTTTCAAGAAAAAAATAGAAAAGAAAACGCTCTCATCCAAAAACAAACTCCAGCATATTTATTTGCTAGTCATGACTGGAACTTTAAACGGGACTGGGTTCAATGGTCAGATGAAAAACCATTCCAGAAATCTAATAATGGGCAATGGTTGGATCTTCCAACAGGACAATGATCCACAAACAAACATCAAAATCAAAACAAAAATGGGTCACTGAGAACAAAACCAAGCTTCTGCCCTGGCCAACCCAGTTCCCTGAGCTGAACCCTATAGAAAATGAGTGTAGTGAACTGAAGAGGAGAATTATCAACATGCAGCTGGAAATCTGAAGGGTCTGGAGAGATTCTGTATGAAGGAATGGTCTCTGATCTCCTGTCAGATGTTCTCTAAACTCTTCAGGCATTATAGGTGAAGACTCAGAGCTGTTCTCTTGGCAAAAGGAGGTTGCAAAAAGTATTGGATAAAAGGGTATGATTAATTGTGACCAATGTGTATTAAAGAAAAACATTTATTTCATAATGAGATTTCTCTCCCATTTTAAATTATTATTTTTCAATGAAAGGTTATATTTTAGTAAATGTTTTAAATGAAATATCTAAAGGATTGATGATACAGATTAATTTTCACAGCCTTCTTTGATCATATTTACCATAATTTTGAGCACAACTGTAAATGTTTTACAAAAGAAATGTTAAGCAAATGACAGTAATATCCAGTGATGCATATTTTTTCCTCAAATCTATCAGTTTTCAACTGCAATTCATTTACATCGTTTGTGTATTTATACAGAAACAATAAAAATGAATAAAACCATTTTTGCTATATTAGGCATGTGATTAAGAAAGAATGTGTGAATAATTATTTTTTCATTTATTTATTTATTTACTGATTACAATAAATTCCAGTTATTTTTACTGCTCATCTATCATTTTCTTTATTCCCTGAAATTCCTTTAAATCCTATTTAGATCCATTCAATAAAATGATCCCTTCAAAAAAATATATATATATTTTGTCCCTCCCAATGTTCAGACATGGTTACGGCCTTATTGAAAGCACTAACGCATGACATTACCAAATGTATACAGCAATGTGTCTTGGCTGAGCACTTGTGATTGGATCAACCGGTATGGCGCTTACAACCTCTGTAATCGACCCTTTCATCTGTGGAATAAATTAATCAGCTATAGCCCAGCACACACTGTGCGATTTTGGCCACGATTTGGTCATCTGAGATACATTTTGAAAATCTTAACATTTTTCTGTAGTCTTTGATCGCTGGTTTGACATGCCGATTAATGGCCATTGCGATCAAATTCTACCTCTGATGAAATTCTGGCAGTGTCAGAAGATTTGCCGCACAGTCTTGCAGTGTGATGTCTCCTACGACGAACGTCAAACTGTCTTCGTTTTTCAGAATTAATGCTAGAGATTTCTTCTAACCATCATAAACTCTGGCATTCCCATTCTCCACTCATGGAATTCATACGATGTTGCATATGTTGCTATGATAAACTCTGGTTGCGTTGCTGTTTTCATGTGGTTGTGTAGTGCTGCTTACACTATTCTTCTTAAATACGCCGGTATTTCCGCCATCCATATACTTTTCATGATAGCCAACATTTCAGCCCCACGTGTAATGCAGCTCACAGTCACTGAACGGGTGTATGAATTGATCATGTAAAACCCCGGACAAGTTTTCTTGCACACAGTTTGTGTTTCTTGCGCACAGTGTGCGCCCAGTCTGTAAATATGCTATTTATTTAAAACAGCATTGGTGACCAAAAATGTGATACTGCATCCACAGCAATAGGTGTCAGTATAAAGCGCAACAGCACTATTACACCAATCAGCAAATCATGAAGAAAAAATACTAACAATTAAATGTATCTGCTAAATAGAAACAACAACAAAAAAAAAATTTGCGCTACCTCTATTTTTATCATGTCTTGAGAACTGAAAATGATACTGCACACAAAACTCAGGCTTACAAAGTAATGAATATGGTTAAAATACTATAAAGCAGTGAACACTGAGATGATAAAGGTGCCCCTCATGATCACAAACAAACTGCGGCTGGAGCGTAAAAAGGCCATTAACTTAACTGTGGGAGTGTTAGTAAAAAAGGCACTGTGAGATTGTTCTCTGAGCAATCAGTGTTGAGCTCCCCCAACAAGTCTGCCATGACGCCTAGCGACAGGTGACACAGCCGCTGGTGACAGACAGCACTGGCCTGAGCTCTGATTGGTCAGCAGTCCCATCCAGGAGGGGAGGGCTCAGAGTATCACTGCAGCAAACACTAGCTTGCATCTACGTGCCTAATACAACAAACTGTTTGTTTAGTTAGATGCATTTAAATTATGTATGTGTTACACTTTACAGCCCAAAAGAGAGAAAAACAAACAATATTCAATATCCAAATGAGAATAAATGGAGATTACAGCTTTAACCTTCTCAGATTTTTGCCATTTCTGTGTCTTTTACTAGAGTTTCAGAAGAGATCTCCAGATAAAAAAGTCTGCAAAAATATTTCTCATCAATTTCTCTCAAGATCAAATGATTATACTGTATAGCTGTCCTGAGAAACAATTGCGCTCTCTCTCCATTCTCCTAAACTGATCAATACTTCATTTAAATCATGACATTAGCACACTACAACTGGATAGCTGTCCTGAGAAACATCTCAGACGGTTGATACATAACAAAAAAAAAAAAAAACATAACTTAGATCATAAAGTCTCCTGAGCTTTGTTTGAAAGAGCTAATTTAGTAGGGTTTTGTGACATGTTTTAAGTATCTTTTTGCATTTTTCCTTCAAGAGTAAATGTCTTCTTTGGGATCATGTTCCCTGGCATCTGGCAGGAAAATTCTGGGACCCTCCTCACCTCAACAGGGGAGGGGGAAACACCTGTCTCAAAGTAAACTCTCTAACTTCAGTCGAGCTGGAAGCGTTCAGACAGGCACAGCCAGCTGCTCAACACATGCACTGCACTCTCTAAAACAAACCTGGAATATAACAAGGTTAGCAGAGTCACCTTAACAAATAAGGAGCTCATTTGGTCCCCCCCCCCAAAAAAAAACAACAGATTTCAGACTCCCAACAAACTGTATATTAAGTATTTCAGTGAGCCAAAACATCCATTCACATGTCAAAGTTGCAACTGGAGCTCACAAGCCGCTGTCAATACAGCAAGCTCCATGTAGAAAAACAACAGAAGCTTCAAACTACAAGTATTTTGGATTTAGATCATGTTTCTCTCTCTCTCTCTCTCTCTCTCTCTCTCTCAAAGCCTTTTCAAAAATCATTCCTGACTAACATTTCCTCGTTAAACTTGGTGTGTTACAGCACAAGCCAATTCTTTATAATTACAGCTATTATTCTTCTTATATGAAATGATCCTTCTTAGAAGAAGAGAAAAAATACATAAATTACTGCAAATGTAGTGGTCTGAGATTAAAGCATGTCACAAAGAAGAGCCCAGAACAAAAGCATTGGCATTGAGAAAGCAAGAAAGAGAGAGAGAGTGTGTGGGCCCGAGCAGCCTGGGCCTGGCCGTGAAGCTTTTACCTGAGCCTGTAGCTCCAGATCTTGCTTCCTGGCATCTTGTAGCTGCCTGTGCAGCTGCTGTTTGCGGTCGTGTCCCCTCTGGAGCTCCTGCTGGCTTTCTTGCAGCTGTCTCTGCAGATCCCACAGTCTCTGCTCTTGGACGTCCAGCTATCCAACCACAATAGAGGGCAGGGCGCAAAGGAAGAGAAAATCAATCCACTACAAAGAGCCTGTTTCTCCGCTTGCCTGCTCGATTCGCAGAACCCCTTATGACTAGATCTCCGGCAAAGAGGAACCAATGTTCATCTGGCCCTCATCGCAGCCCCAACATCCACCCCGAGCGGTTCTAGAACCCTTCACATACACCCTGACACTCCAGACAGGCTAGGGCTGTCCTGCACTGAATGCAGAAGCAAAAATCAATGCTTCTTAACAAAATGCGAAATCGCAGCTCATTGTTCGACAGGAAGAGCGGGAGAACAAGCAATACTTCTGCAGACAGATCTTTACGATTTTCGGTTACATGCACAAGCAGTTTGCACCATGTCACTCCATTATCCGCTTTTTAAGCAAAAAAGTATTCATTAATGTTGTTATTTTTCAAATAATTAAAGCAAGGCCCACCACGACACATCGAAAAGAAATAATTATTATTGTAATTAGCACAATATGGTCACCTGCTAAAGAGAACGGAGAGGAGGGGAAGATGGGAGTCGAGAAAAAGAGAGAGGAGGAGGAGGTTTGGCAGACTCCTAGTTCCGGTCCAGTCTGACATTATCAAGCATCCTCTTCTGCATTTCAAATGGTCGCACAATGACAGTCGCATATCCAAAATGGAGGCCCGGGGACGATCAATTAATCAGCCTCGCTCATTAGAGGCCCGCGAGTAATCCACAAATTCGCCAAAGTCACCTAAATCAAACAGTCGCCCCTCGCCTTACCCATTGATTGTGGTCTGGTGACAAGCACTTCAAGCCTTGCCTCGTCTTCCCATCCATCTGTTGGCATAGCGAACGCTCGAATTCCTGCCAGATTGTGGACTAAAACGATGAGGGAAGAATGAGAATCATTTCCCTTTAATCCTAAAAACCCAGCTCATCCTTTTGCTCTGCTTTTCGGTGTGTGATGCAAGCCGATAACCCTGCTCTTTCTTTGCCTTACAATTGCACTCTCTCTCCATTCTCCCCTCCTAAACTGATCAATACTTCATTTAAATCATGACATTAGCACACTACAACTGGAAAAAAAGCCGAAAGGAATAGCAAAACGCTTCTTATGGCAAATGGAGGGTTGGAAAATAGATCATGCATCCGATTAGTGACCATAATTGTTTGTTTGTACGTAAAAACTAAGGTTAAAATGCATGTGGCGCTCAGGACCAACATCATTGTTTTGATTTGAGCTCCCGAGACTGACTGATCAATATCGCATTTGAATCCTGAGAGCGGGGCAGTGTCGCTTTAGCACTCGACGTTAAATGAAATGCAAATAGCGCTGCCGTAATCAACACGTATTTCGGACGTTATTGTCAAACCCAAATGATATTTCCATACACAAAGAACGTGTAGCCATACGCATTGGCAATTGCGTGATATGCGCCCTCATGCATTTGTTTATTCATGCAGTATGCCATGAGAATAATCACTGCACTCTTAAGACTTGAAGGGATGGTAATCATCGATGCAGGGTGGGAGTGGGAGGAGAGAAGAAGAAGAAGAAGGAAAAAAAAGGTAATTTCCTGTCGCGGATCTGCATAACAGGCGCGCAAGAGAGCGAGAGCGAGTCTTATCTGCCTAATGGTCATTAGCGGAGCTTATTTACCTGAACACTCTGGGCGTCACGGGCCTGATGAGAGAGGAGCAGGTCTTGCCGGAGTCTTTGGATGCTCGCGTCCCGACGTGACAACTGCGGTTCGGGTTTCCCATCCCAAACGTGGTGAAGAGGAAGGAACGGAGGGCGTGAGGTGTTTTTGAGAGTAAAGAGAGGGAGGTGGAGAGAGAGAGGGAAGGAAAGAGGGAATCACTCCACCAAACGTGGCGAAGAGGAAGGAACGGAGGGCGTGAGGTGTTTTTGAGAGTAAAGAGAGGGAGGTGGAGAGAGAGAGGGAAGGGAAGAGTGAATCACTCCAGGAACATGCACTTACATATAGCCGGGTGCCAATGTCAACCAATGAGCAATTAGGCAGACAAGACCAAAGTTATTGATCGGGGTTTGGGGCTCTTTTTCCCAGGCTAACTAAGCTGAGTATGTGTGATGGCTGCAGAAGCGGTGGGGAAAGCGAGAAGGAGGGGGAGAGTTCGGAAGAGCGACTCCCTCTTGCTCTCGCTGGGCCTGTAGTGCCGAAGAGGAGCCGGTCATTTAACCTTCTATTGATCTTCCTCCTAAATAACCACCCTCCCTTGACAGATGTGCGTGTTCAATGTATGCACTTAATGTAGACTGCTCAACTGTCAATACATTACACAGTCAGATTTGTCTGCAAGACTGCTACATATAGGCTACCGTGTTTTGCACAAGAGATCAGGGTTCTTGGGAGAATACAGCGCTGTGTGCCAATCATGCATTACCAACCAGATTGCAGACTTTAGCATTGCTTTATGGACTTGTTTAACACCTGGCTTGAGGGTAGGCACCATATTTCCTTAGAGATAAATTACAACAAGGCTGTAAGGGATATAATTATAGTCTTTCAATAGGCTGTAGTGTAGAGTCTTTAAGGGACAGTTAACCAAGAAATGGAAATTCAATAATCATTTACTCACCCACACGTTGTTCAAAATTTGCATGTTTTGAACACAAAAGTAGATATTTTCAAGGCTGACTGAAAGTCAGTGGGGTCAAAAACGATGGACAAAAACGATGAGACATTTGGTGTTTCATAGAAGAAAAAAGGCATAGGGAACAACATGAGGATGAACTATCCCTGTAGGTTCAAATCTAATTTTCATGTCAGCTTTTTTTAGTACTGGAAATTAATTCGGAAGGCAGATTTTAAATGCTTCATTGGCTAAACGATAAACACCAAGAACAACAGCAATTGAACACACTGTACATCTATCCCTTACAGACTTGTTCTCATTCATGTAAAATCAAGCAAGCCATCTACCCTCTAGGGTTGTGTGCCATTCAGAATTGAACTGAGAATGCCTTTTAAATTCCAACTTAATACATTAACACCCATCTCATGTGATTGGGTCGGGACATCAGAATAGACATATCAATTAGTATTAAAACTAATCTCAAAAGGTGGCCACTTGTGATTGGATTTTGAGGAGGATTTTAGAAGTCTGTCATACATCTATATTGTTGATTAATCCATGGATAGCATAATTAGTGCACTGTTAATATAAGTTCTAAGGAGAGACTATAAAGACCAATGAGGATTAAAAACTGTGGCCGTACCTCACTTTTAAACAGCTCTGTTCCTCTGAGAGCAGTGAGATCAGTGGAAGTCTAAAGAGAAAGACAAGCATCTGATGAGACTATGAGCTCAATTTATAGTGTGTACTTAAAATACATTCCACAGCAACGCAGGTAAGATGAACCTCAGAGTAAATGAAACCTGTGAGACAGATGCCAGTAAGATGGTAGAATAAGCAACCAGACAGTATATAAGGAAAAGACACCTGTAGGAAAGAGAAACTACTAATAGTGTCTCTGCAAATAAATGGAGAGTAAATTGAGACAATCATTAAACAATATAGGTCATAAGAAGGTTGTAAAATGTCATGTGGTACAACTCCCTAAAAATATAATAATATTTGAGAGTGACGTATACTTTTGACCTTGACAATATAGTGTATTTAAAAACGTAAAAATTCAAGATGTGAGAAATATGTAGTACCTTTTACTTGAAGGTCACACCACATGAAAATTATTTTGAAATGACAAAAATGCTTTTTTAAAACCATTTGAAACCACCACGAATTCGAAGAGTACATTTCTACAACTCGTTACATCTGTTTTTAAAAATGTTTTATACATTTATTTTCTTTCTTGTGGAGACTCTTACAGTATATGTCATGGACGCAAACAATATACTGTATACCATCAATGTTAACTCATCTTCTCATCAAATCTATTCATGACCAAATGATTGGAGCTGCTACCTACGTCCATGTTTACAGCTCTATTTTATACTGTATAACATAAAAATCTTAATTTTTTTCCCCTCCAAAGAAGTTTTAGGAGAAACATCACTGACAGAGTTGATTAAAATAAGACTAGAAAGAGATGAACTATAAACGCAGCTAGCAAATACAGAGACGAAAGAGAAAGAACTCAATAAGACAGGGCAAAACATCTCTCCTCCCAGAGCGTGTGTAATTGAAGAACATGTCTTTCATGAGATCCGCTTTGTTGTGAAGGCAGAAAGTTAAAGAGTTCACAAGTGCTGGTGAGAGAAGCCGATGACGACACCTGATCCTTCCTTCCATGCTCGTATTGACCCTTTCCTCAATAATGTCTCTGGGGAACAGCTAGTTAACACTGATTGCCTACAAACCTGCTCACAATGACAAGCGTGGCCTCGGCCAACTCCACTTCAACACAATCAATTATTTCCTCACTACCCATGACCAAGAACATCCTTAAACCACACAATCTGCGCTGGAGAAACACTCCATTACGAAGGTGAGGAAAGGACATTAGGAACCTGCTTTTCTCATTCCGGGCAAAGAAAGGTGGAAAAAAACAGGAACGCTGCCTTGTGTTTTTTTTTTAAGCCACATTCTGATATAGAGCATCAAAAATATGTTTACTCCTACCACAGATTCATACGGTGACTGCATATTGTACAATAGCGCTGTTTAGGTATTTACTAGAAAGCCAAGCTCTCTTCTGCATAGCTTGATGTCTCTCCGAGTTTATCCATCAGTGTGTTTTTGAAAATCAATGGTGATATTTTCAGAGAGGCAGACATGATAATGAAAGAGAGAGGCGAGAAAATGCAACCCTCAGAGGTGATTGCTCATTCCGAGCGGCTTCAAACATCCCTGCGTTAGAAGGACACCTTAAATATTCGGACTTTTCACGTCACTCCAGACTAAATCCCTAGCAACCACCATAGCAACACACTTCCACTTGGACGTGAAATGCATTGTAAGTTCCCCCCTGCCACCAGAGATGGAAGAGGGGAGGGAGGGTGAGTGCAGGAGGACAGACAGAGAAAAACAGCATCACGGAATGAAAGCATGAGAGGCGAAAGGAGAAAAACAAGTCAGGTAGACTCAATAGCACAAACAAACCAGGCACATAAGCAAACGTGCCAATGGGTGAGGCTGAACGAAACTCTCGACGAGGGAAAAATCAGCTGTTTTGTTTTTCATCTGCATTGTTTATCTGTTTCTGCATGCAAGGGATGTCCTGAACTAACATATGCTATGCCAGAGCATTTCCTAACCTTAAAACATATATCTGCAATCTGTCTGAGCCTGTGTTGTCACCACAGATAATAATAGATTTCTTTCTATTTTTGTATTTCTTAGCTAAATTTTCGACCATATATCTTTACCAGTCTTCTGAACTATAAAGAGCTAAAGAGCTACATTCTACTTATTTCAAGGCTATTACACTTGGCCAGCCCAAATGGAAGGAAATGTTATGTACAATTCAAATACGTAAATCTTAAATGCATGCTATATATATATATATATATATATATATAACAGTGTAAGTACACATTGGTACACATAGTATCTACAGCTGTAATATTTGTGTAACTACACATATGTAACAACCCACTGAATGGTATGTGTAAATATAAATGTGTAGCAGGACATTGGTAACAACATTTTTTGGTAAAGAAAGTACAAATGTGTAACAGGACTAACAGCACTTTTTGGTAAAGAAAGTGTTACACTTTATATTTAGTAAACAATTCCTATGTAATTCCATGTAATTACTCACAGCAGCGGCCAGTAAGTTAGGCTTTACATATAAATTGTGGTTGGT